CCCTACACCCAAAATGTGCCCAAGTGAGGTGCCTGCATCCCAGAGCTGGGGCCTAAGGTACAGAGGCAGCAGCTGACAGAGTGGTCCCCACATCCTGCCATCTCTACACTGGGGAATTTTCTGGATTGTGTAATGCAGCTCTGTGTGTGTGTGTTCATCTGTGTGTCTGTGTCTGAACACACACACAGGAGGCTTGACCAATAACTGAAAGACTCACAACTTGCAAAACCAGCCACAATGAGCTCTTACAAACCCTGTTAACTGAATAACTGCCTCTGCATTGGCATGAAGCAACCAAAGGAGGCAACAGCTGAAAGAGGACTTTCTTCAGGAGATGAAACCAGCCTTTACACAGAAACTTAATATGAGCCAATCTGTGCAACCAGGCTTCCACCCAACCGACTGACATTTAATGAGCACCTACTACATAGATCACAAATGGTGGATGCTTTGACTTGATTCAATTGCTTCTTTGCCTCTTTCCCATGCAAATATCTCTCCTGTTTTCTAAACAGTTTATTTCACATAGGAAGCCGCAAGTCTGGCCCTACTGGAAAGGATACTGATGACATCAAAGGCTATTGCTGGCAGGACCGAAATAGGACCTCGTCAGTTAAAAGGATATAATGGCACCAGGCTTAGCTCCTGGGTCTGTGATTCTACACAGAACCCAGATAAGCATCTTTAACGTGGGCCTCTCCTCAAATTGATTCTCTCACCTTAGAGAACTAAAGACTTTGTTTTGCTTAAACTGAAGAAAATACTTTCTTAAGGAGGAAGGCAAAGGGTGAGATGGGCTTGGGAGGACATCCTCTGCGTTTCTATGTCATCCCGGTTCAGCGTCAGCCAGTGTCCGAGGCAACAGCATCCCTGTCCTCCCACTCCTCTCCAGGCACATGTCTGTTCTCAAGCCTTTTTTAGGTACCACACATCCCGGATGGGCATCTCAGACATCTGCCCTTCCATATTTTTTCCCATTCAACAGGAAATGCCTCCTGTGCTAAGTCTCAGTAACAAGTAATGGGTCTCAGGAATGCAGCTTAGTTCCCATGATCAAACCAAATACATGCCCTCTGCATAAATGCCAACTGTCTTTCAAGAAACACGAAAACCAGCTTTGTCCCTCTCATACGGCACACTTGAGACTCTCTCCACTGTCTCCTATAAAAGCCTTACAACGTGTGCTTCCAGATCAGGGATGGATGATCCCTTTCGTACCTAACTGCATCAAATCATTTTGCTGCAAAGCCACACAGTGACAACCCTGAAGAGAAACCCAGTCCATGAACCCAAGTCAGAGGTTTTGCCAAGGACTCTGCCCTCTGAACTCTCCTGTTCGGAAAGCAATGGGAACAGAAGTCCACTGGATGTGACCTGATGCAGAAGGCGGGGCAGGGGTGGGAATCACGCCACGGAGTGGATTTGAACCCGTCTGCCATCACACTTCATGGAGATGAATAGAGGTGACTTCTGGGGCAAGGGAGAATCAAGTTTGCACCAACCTCACCCATGCACACCTCTTATTACTCCGGCAACAAGGGGCAGCCTGGGCAGGACTACCCAGTGGCTAGGCACCCCTTCATCCATTCCTCCCTTGGTTAATATTCATTGAGCACCAGTACACACCAGGTACTGCACCTGGCCATGGAGGTAGGGCCTTTGTGGGGCTTACATTCTATTGAGGGAGGAGATAATAAGAGAGCTTTCACGTAAATGTCCACTATAGTGACAGATGGGAATAAAGGAAAATGAGGCAGGTGGGGGATTGAGAGTCACTGGGTGGAGTGGGGAGGGGGCGACTCTGGATGCAGTGGTCGGGAAAGGCTTCTGAAGAGATGTTTGCACAGAGCCCCGATGAAGGACAGAACTCCCTGGAATCAAGGGGGTTTCGGGCTGAGGCGACAGCCAGTTCAGCCCCTGAGGCAGAACAAGAGGGGGTACCAGGTGGCTGCAGTGGGTGATGGGAGGGAATCGGCAGGGCTACTGCAAGGGGCTGAGATTCATTCCAAGCCCCCCTCCCCCCTGAAAGGAAGAGAACGAAGGAGTCAGAAGGGCCTGAGCTCTAACTTAGCCTCTTATTAACTGCAGGCTGACCTCTCCAAGCTTCAGTTTCCTCATCAGGGCACTTGTGACAAAGACACTACCTATTTCCCAAGATTTCATGACACCAAACTTTCTATGTCTCCACATCGCTCACCAAATACCTAATATAGAGTCAGGACCCACTGAGTTGTCACCGTTGCTATTGTTGTGGTGATATTTTTGGTTTTATGTAGTGCGCTTCCTCTGAGGAGGTTTAAGGCATCCTTCCTATTACCTTTAGTTTTGCTAAATAAATAAATTCCTGGCATTTTCCTCAGATCCAGAGCTATTGTTTTGGCTTGGGTTTAGAAATACTTCTGGTAAAGAATTTTTCTGGCTCTCAGAGTCTGTGTTATAGGTCAGTGATAGCTGGAATTTCAGAGTTTGAGATCAAACGATATAGGGCTCCCAACTTTTCATTTTGCTATAGATTAAAAAAAAAACTTTTAAAGCCTACCTTCTATTACAAATAGCACCTCATAAAAGGAAGGATATTTAACACCAAATAACCTCAGAGAAAAGCCAATTCTTCCTTAGAGAGGTCACTTTTCATGGATTCTCTCTCTCTCTCTCTCTCTCTTTCTCACACTCACACACACACACACACACACACACACACACACACCCAGAGCAGTGAACATTTCACTGTGGGTGGACCAACTTCTGCTGGCTTCCATTTACAACCATTGCTCCAGGCAGTGGAGGGTGACCAATGCCAGGGGCAAGAAGAGAGAGCCGAATGAAGTTCTAGGAAGGCGTGGGTCGCTGACCGAGCCTCTGACCTGCTGGGACGATAACTCGGCGCTCGTTCGTGGTCATGTTTGGGGGCGGCATATGCTTCTCCTCCATGTAGCCGCTGTAATTCATCCCGACAGTGTCCGTGCTACCCACCATCTTCCCTCCTTTGGCCATGCTGCATTCATCGGGGGAGTTCCTGGAGGGGAAGAAGACACATCCTTCCATTATTGCGGCAACCCAGAGCCCGCCTCCCTGTCTCCGCGTGACACCCAGAGAAGCAAGGAGGGGCAAGGTGGAGGGGTGTGAGGAAGGGGGAGGAGGCTTTGAAAAGACAGATGCAGTGTCTGTGATGAACTGAACGGCTGTGTTTCTTCCAAATTTATATTTTGAAGCTCTAATCCCCACGTGATGGCATTTGGAGGTGGGGCCTTTGGGAGATAATTAAGTTTACACAAGGTCCTGAGGGTGAGGCCCCTATGATGGGATTAGTGGCCCTTATAAGAAGACAAAGAGACCAGACACCTCTCTCTCTCTCTCTCTGTCTCTCTCCTCTTTGCCACTGAGTTTACAGTGAGAAGGTGGCCATCCTCCACCCAAGAAGAGAGCTCTCTCCAGACATCAACCCTGCCAGCAACTTGATCTTGGACTTCCAGTCTCCAGAACTGTTATTTAAGCCCCCGCTCCCCAGTCCACGGTATCTTGTGACAGCAGCCCGAGCAGACTAAGACAGTGCCCCTGCTCAGTGGAAGCAGAGGGCAGGCGCGTGGGAAGCAAAGCTGCCACCTGGCTTCTATTACTCCAGCCAGCTCCTTCTGAAACTGTCGTGTCAAACCCCCTTCCGTGACAACTGACTGGGAACACTTGCAAGGAGCAGGGAACTGGTGCTTGTTCGCCCCATGTGACTGTAAAGAGGCCACGCACACAGATGCTGGGAGACGACCCTCAGCAAGGTTTATCCTAGAGTGCATGCCTCTTCACAACCTCAGAACGAAATCCTCGTGCTCAATTTCAAATCCCTGCAGCCAATCTTTAGACACAGAGTTTGAAGGCCCCCAGTGTTCCTGGCTTAGGTGCAGGCAGGAAGATCAGAGGAGCGAGAAGGACAGGGGACCCCAGCAGCCCTGTAGGACTGGGATTGGGGGGTGAAACCAGCTATGAGCCTGCAGAAAGGAGTCAGCTGCTGGGCCTTGGGGAACAGCTCACAGGGCTGCTGTTCATTAAGACAGCCATGGCCTCTTGGATAAAGACAAACCTGCCTCTCTAAAAAAAGAAAAAAGGGGAATATAAATTTTTAAGTGAGATTGGAAAGTTATTGGACATGGTGAAATCATACATAATGGGGAAACTCCAAACAGAAAATGCAGCTTAACCAGGAAAACAGAAAAATATTTTTTCCTGAGGGATCTTGATGGTTGGGTTATGTCTTCTAAGGTGGATTTCTGGAAATTTCCTCTCAAGTGCTACCCAACACAGGATTCTTCATACTCTTAGGAATCTACGCATCTCCACTGGATTTTAGATTTCCATCCCCATGTCTGAGGCCCTGATGGTTGTGAGCTCCACTCCAGTGAGGCTTCCTTTGTCTGCTCCACACTTTGTTTGCTGGAACTCTGCAGCCAATTTGCAGAATCTTGGAACTATAGGCCTGGCATGGACATGACCTTCAAGTCAGAGATGGTCTGAGGCATTGAGGCAGAAGGGCACTCTCTGGGTGGGGCAGGACTGAGGTGGGGTAGAAAAGGTCATTCTAGACCCAAGAGCTATGGCAGGGGTGTGGACAGGAAGAGCAGACCAAAGGCCCTGGAAAGAGTTTGTTCGGCGTCTGGGAACTTTGAAAATACAGATTTGTTCTCAGCATCCCTTGCACATGTCTGGTGCTGATGGAGGGAGCTTAGGGCTGATGATGAGGAAGAAGCAGGTATGTCTGTGGATGGAGGTTATAGTTGGGGTCATCCAGGACTAAGTTCCTACCATGGGCCTGGAAATACACAATCCTGTTTCATGGCATCCTCACAGCTGTACTAACATGAAGGAAATTTAAAAATAATAGCAGTTGGAGTTCCCACGGTGTGAACCCTCTATATTTCCAATGCTGCCTACACGTGCATTATTTCCTCTTGATGCTATTTTTCCTGGCTTCCAACATTTATCTCTAAAAGACCCATCCTAATATCAAAACACTGAATGTCTTCACTTGAGACTTAGTTTCCTTTCCCTTTGGAAAATTCCATCAGTTGAGTGGAGTATGTATGTTTTGGTCTGTTGGTCTCAAGGAGAGAAGTTACTAGGGAAGAGAGTTATAGGGGTTTGTTTCTTTAGGAAAAAGACTTTAGATGCTACTTAGGTGATGAGTGCCACTCAAGTAACATCTTTAAGATCTAAGATGAGCACTGTTCAGATTCATTCGTTCACTCCTCCATTTAGACTATTTTTTATTGACTGCCTGCTGTATATCAGGCACCATAAATTCTTTCTTCTCCAGAAAGGCAGTTATCCATCTAAAAAGTTAAAAGTCAAAGAGATGTATAGAATTATAGAAAGAGGAAACATGGGGGATTATGGACCATACGTTCCAACTCTCCCATTTTCTTACAATTCTATTGTTCAATTTCCATCTCTGAGGACTAAAGCTCTAGGAACAAATCAGTTTTCCCATGGCATTAAAATAGATCCCTCATCAAATACAGAGATATAATGAGCTATTAAATTGCATTTTACCAGAGCTTTCCAAAAATATGTGTAAGTATTTAAAACAGGGACAGTCTTCAATAAGGTTACCTTGTCTTCATCTTACAACCAGAAGACATAATTCATCTCATTAAGCTTTTCCAGCCAGCTTTCATTGTGAAAAAAAAGCAGCAGAATGAAACCCTATTTTCAAATGTTGTACCTTCAGTTCAATAAAAATAATTGTCTTTCTTCCACTGTATTTTGTTTTAGCTTCAGAGGAAGACAGAAGGGAATCATGTTTGTGATCATTTCAAATAGTTTTTGAATCTAAGTAATAAATCTAACAGAACTCAAACCCCAAAGAGGGGAGAGATCACCCCATACGGCCACTGACATATGAGACTCAAGGCAGGTATTCAATAAATACTGGTTAAAGGGGCCCCAGGTGTTCTATTCTCAGTGTTCAGCCATTTCGCCTTGTTTATTCTCTTGGAAATTTTAATAGAAAAAGAGTAGCATATATATATGTCGCCGTGTTCTGAGAGCTTAACAGTTACCAATCCTCACAACAGCCTGGTGCAGCGGCCGCTGGCATTAGCTCCATTTCTCAGATGTGTAAACTGATGACACAAAAGAGAAGGGAAATGCTCCAGGTCTCAGAGCCAGGAGGAGACAGAGCTGAGGCTTGAAGCTGGGCAGCCTCTACTCACTGGCCACACTTATAACCCCTGCACAGACAGCCCCACCCAGTAAAGGTAAGGTGGCTAGGATGGCGGCCCTTTAAAAGGTAAAGCAGATCTTTATTTCAGAAAGGCATCAAGAATGCCCTGCCCCACATGTTACTCTGGCTTAAGGTGTGCACTGTGATACATACACGATTCATAGTCTAGGCCACCATCCTTGCCCCTGGACTGTTCATTCCCCAGCACAGCAGATGTGTGACCCATCCAGAGCGTATCTAAAAAGACGGAAATAAGAAAGAGAGGGAAATCCTGGGGGAGGATTTTTTTTCATGAAATTTAGACACTGCTATTTTAAGAAAAAGAAATCTTAACATGATTCAGAGAATTGCAAAGTGTATATTGAAAAGTCTCCCAATAAATGCGTTTTCAGCTCTTTGCCCAGCTGTGGTAAGAAAAGATCCACACTGGAAATCTGCCCCTTGCTTACTGCACTGTTTAGCTCTACCTTCATTGCGCATTCCAAGAAGTCACAGGGAGAAGCTCCCACAAACAGCCTGGTATCCTACCTGTACCAAGCCTAGAACAGAGGATCCCACGTTCTCTATTCTAACATGGTAAGGGTTTGGGCATTCAGTACATTACTTTGAAATGCACGTAGCAAAGAGCATTCCTTTCAATATGATATTCTTAGTATTCACATATGTGTTCTTTAACAGTTCCTGTGAACGTTCTAAGGCAATTCATTAGATGCCTGCTAAATGGGTAATTAATTGGTGAACATGAAAGTTCTCTGTCTTATTATTTGGGGCATCAATTTCTTTATTGCTAATAAGCATGGTTCAAGATATTTCTCTCAAAGACTCTATCTTTTAAGGGCATGGAAAAGTGATTATGCAAGTCAAACCACAGTGAGATATCACTTCACACCTGTCAAGATGGCTATTATAAAAACAAAAACCAAAAGATAACAAGTGTTGGTGAGGATATAGAGAAATTGGAACCCTCGCCTACTGTTGGTGGGAATGCAAAATGGTACAGCTGCACTGGAAAACAGTATAGCGATTCCTTGAAACATTTTTAAAGAAAACAACCATATGATCCAGCAATCCCACTTATGCCTATTTATCCAAAAGAATTAAAAGCAGGCAAGAGATATTAGCACTTCTAGCTTCACTACAGTACCATTCACAATAGTCAAGATGTGGAAACAACCTATATGTCCACTGATGGATGAACAGATAAAGTAAATGTGGTACGCTCATACAATAGAACAGAATACTATTCTCCTTAAAAAGAAGGAAATTTGGAAATAGATGACAGCATGGATGAACCTTGAGAACATTATACTTAGTGAAAAGAGCCAGTCACAGAAAGACAAATACTGCCTGATTCCCCCTTACATGATATCTAAAAAAGTCAAATTCAGAGAATCAAAGAGTGAAATGTTAGTTTCCAGCAGCTGGAGGAGGGAGAAGTGGTGAAGTTACTAATCAACCATCATAAAGTCTCAGTCAAGTAGAATGAAAAGGCTCCAGAGATTTGCTGTACCACTTGGTACCTTTGGTCAACAATAAGGTACACTTAAACATTTGTTTAAAAAGGTAGATCTCGTGTTGTGTTCTTACCACAATAAAATAAATAAAAAATGATTGTGTCTTAACCATATTCTCAGATTCACATTTTCAGGTCTGGGTTCTATTTATAACCCACAAAACGCTGGTCTTGACGACCCCATACAGTATGTGGCACCAGTGAGAGGGAAGAGAAGGCAGGAAGACCGCTCACAGCAGGAGAAATCCCACATTGGCCTGGGGCTGCCCTGAGAGGGGGAGGCTGATTCAGA